GGATAGTAGAGGATAGGAAAGGTAGCAGAATACAACAGTCACTAATATGGCAGTATGTAAAAATGTGGATGTGTAACCGATGTGATTCTGCAATCTGTATTTGGGGTAAAAATGAGAATTCATAACCCACTTGATTCTAATGTATGAAATATGATATGTCAAGAGCTTTGTAATGTTGTGAACAACCAATAAAAAAAATTTAAAAAAAGAAATATCTAAAAAATTCCCTCTCTCTCTCTCTCTCTCTCTCTCTCTCTCTCTCTCTCTCTTTCTCTCTTAAAAAAAAGTGATTGAACCTAAGAATCAGTTTCTTCTTATAATACTGGACAATCATCCATCTGATAGGTCTTTCTGAGGATTAAATGATGTAATGGTTGTAAGCTCAGGGCTTAATAATCGGTGACTATTATCGTTATTTTTTAGCCATGATTCTATTGCTTGTAATTTTTCCCTAACAGTTTATTATGAAACATTTCTAACATCCAGAAAAAAGGAACTAATTGAACAGTGAACACCCATACATGTATCACCTAAATTCTATGAATAATTTTTTGCTATATTTTATTTATCACATATAAATATTTACCTATCCATCTATCTCTTTTTCCATCTTATTTTTAATGCATTTCCAAGTAAGCTAACGATATCTTCCCCCTAAATAATTAAGCTTTAATATCATTAACTAGAATTCAATATTTGTTTATAATTTTTCTTTTTTGGGGGGGAAATAAAATCTACATACAGTGAAATGCATAAGTTATGTGTACCATTTGTTGTGTAACCCAGACCCCTATGAATATACAAAATGTTTCTGTACCCCAGAAAGCTTCCCAGGCCTTTTCTAGTTAGTCTCCACACTCCTGAGAATTGCCTGTATTTATAGAGCTAGAATTTCAGACACAGACCAGTGACAGGAACATTTGGGAGTTGGGGAGTTGCAGAATATGCTTCTTATCATAACATGAATGTTGGAGCTTAGTATAGTTTTTCCATGAAAAAAATTATGAATTTTGCATTTATGTAAAAATATACTCACTTCTTCAGCAAATATTTAGATAACAGAGACCTTTCTAAGTGCTGAGGGAGATATTCTGGAACTAAACGAGGGAAGTTGAGCATTACAGAGGCTCTGATAGAAATAAGTATAGGGGGTAGTGGAGGCACTAAGAAGGGAATAGTTGATTTCTTCTTGACTTGGAAACAGAGGTAAGGATGGCCTCAAAAAGGCAGTGGTATTTGAGCTGAGTATTGTAAAACATGAGCTGACTAGGCATTAGTGGAGTGAGAGGGGAAGAGGGTTTCAGGATGAGCAAGGACAAAGAGGAGGGGAGAATGGTTTTATTAGGCTGGAGCAAAGGCTGCAAAGTTGAAACTAGAGGCAGGTGCAGAAGACTTTGCATACTGTACAAATAACTGTTTTATTTCTGTAGTCTTGGAAAAGCTTATTTTTCCATATTTTATTGGTTTACTATAATTATTCATAATAGTGGGATTTATTATTACATATTTGTACATGCATAAGTTATAACAATGTAATTTGGTCAGTATCACTCCCCATGGGAAATTTTAAAAGGTTAATTATTTTTGAAGGGATTATACTCAAGAGATAGAAATTTTCAAGCAATATGGTTTGATATTTAAGAATACTTTATGATCAAATCAATATTTATTTCTTCTTTGTATTATCAAACTGTAGTTTTAGCTGGGCATGGTGGTACATTGCAATCTCAGTGGCTCAGCAGGCTGAGGCAGGAGGATCACAATTTAAAGCCAGCCTCAGCAACTTGGTGAGGCCCTAAGCAACTTAGTGAGACCCTGTCTCTAAATAAAAAATAAAAAGGGGTGAGAATGTGGTTCAATGGTTAAGCACCCCTGGGTTCAATCCCTGGTATCAAAAAACAAAAGCAAAACAAAACAAACTGTATTTTTATATTCATATTCTGACTCTTCTTTATTATTTATCTATAATGACAGGTGGTGTGCCAGTATTTGATAAATCCTAGTGTACCGGATTCAATGTTGATACAGAATATTTTCCAAGCTCTGAATGTATATTATAATTATTCAGGCCAGGCAAAATGCCTAAATATTTCAGAAACAGCAACTAAGAATTTGGGATCCCTGGGTTGGAGCTATCAGGTAAGTTTATGTGATATCCCCAAGCATATTTACCTTTCATTGATATAGTAGTACTGTAATAGAGACTATACAAGATTTTTTCACCCAACCTGAATCCAAATCTGGACTCTGTTACTTTACACTGTGAGACCAGTTTCCTTATTCACTCATTTATGCATTCATTCATGTACTTAATCATTACCAAATACATAGTGAGTGCTTACCATGTGTCAGGCACTGCCTAGTCTGCAAAGATATAAAGATAAATTAAATAACACATAATCTCACCATCAAATATAGCCTTGTGAGAAAGACAGGTAATCTAAATTAGTATTGTCATAGATCTCAATACATCCTATAGAGCAAGCATTTCATGGATGCATAAAAAAGGGGGAGTCTAATTTGACTCTGACTCTCCATCCCTTTCTCTTCATATGAAGACCAATAGTGATGATAATGTTTTCTTTCCAGAGCTGTCTTGAAGGTTAACTATAACAATAGATATGAAAAAGGCAGTTTGCAAAGAAGGAGCACATAGTTGTAACCCCTGTGGCTTCTCAGCCAAGCCTTACCAGAATAGTAAGAGGTTGTTCATAAGTACTGCCCAGTTATCACTGAATATATATTATAATTATTCAGGCCAGGAAAAATGCCTTAATATTTCAGAAACAGCAACTAGGAATCTGTGATCCGAGGGTTGGAGCTATCTTTGATATCTTTGATATAAAAATAAAGAGCATTAGCCCTGAAGCTGATTGCTTGAGCTCATTTCCTGGTTTTGCTTCGTTCTAGTTGAATGACCTTGGGAAATTAATTTTATCTTTTTTTTCCCCTCATTTTCTCTTTGGATCCTCTCCTGGTTTGCCTTTAGGCTTGCACAGAAATGGTCATGCCCTTTTGTACCACTGGTATTGATGACATGTTTGAACCTCACCAATGGAACTTGAAGAAATATTCTGATGAATGTTTTAAACAATGGGGTGTGAGACCAAGGCCCTCCTGGATCATTACCATGTATGGAGGGAAAAACATCAAATCACACTCGAACATCATTTTCAGGTGAGCTTTGATAATTCAGAGAGGAAATTTAGTTGGTTAAGACACTTAGAGGCTAGCTGAGAAAATAGAACAGAAAATGCTGGACAGTAAAACAATACAGAATATAACAGCAATAACCATCAGGTTCTTCTACTCCTTGAAAGACAGAGGAGGCTGAGAAGAGATAGTTTTGTATTATTAATGTGCACAACAGCAGCAAAATCAAAACACTCGGGGGAAAAACTCTATAGCCCAAATGAAGCATTTTCTATTATTCTCAGTTTATGTTATTTTTGTTACTATTATTGCTGATAAGGAAAAAAATTCAGTATTTTACTCAAATCTTTTAACTCAAAACTCTGTTCTGTTTCAAGTATTGTATGAGGCACTTTAGATAAATTCTCACAGCTGCCCTATGGAGTAGTTGTTATAGTTCCCCCTCATTTATTTTACTGAAGAGGAAACTGAAGGTCACACATTCAATCACTTTACCAAAGCTCAGCCAGGGAGGTGATAAACACAAATTCCTTGACCTGTCTAATTAGACCTTGACCTGTCTAACTAGACCTTGACCTTTCTACTTTGACCTGTCTAACTAAAAAAGCCATATTTGCTCTGCATCACATGACTCCTTTAAGAAGTGACATACATAATATTAGTTCATGTTATAGTTAATAGTATTGATTCTGTGGGTGTCTGAGATTTAAATTTTTCGTGTTTTGGCATAAACATTATGTTGTCAGCTAATGGCAATCAGTTAATAAAAAATTTCCCTAATTTATTATTATTATATTTATATACATATTTATACATACACATATATTATGTACATATATACATTATATACATATATGCATATATACATTATATACAAATATATATGCATATAAATATATATACATAATAAATATGTATATATATACATATTTATTATGTATATGGAAATAGGATAGATACAAGTAGGTACCTATTAACCAGAAACATTGTTTAAATTGTAAATGTCATTCTTTCACATGTTCGCTTAAACAAAAGTCAAATTTGGCCTTTTGTATATGTCCAATAGCTTTTGGAGTGAGGATTGTTTTGCCTGGAGGTTGACTGTCTGAGTATAGGCTGGTGGTATTGCCCACTTTGCAAAAACCCTCTGACTTACTGGACTCATACTATTTTCTTTTTTTTTTTTAACAGGCAAAAATCCATTTTATTGATTTATAATCATATCACATTATAGATTATGACTTTCTTTATAAATATAGGTCCAGGATGACATATCTCTGTAAATATTAATTTGATTATTATTCCAAGAAATTTGCCCAAAGTAAAATGAAGAGGCTAACTGAAATTCATAGATCTCTATATTGATCCCAGTTATTGATAGAGCTGGGACTAGAACATGTCTTCTAAGCTCCAGTTCTCCCATTCTTTATAGTCCATGGCATTGATTTTTGAAAATACTTTTGCATACACTATTATGGACTCATACTATTTTCAAACCTGGCACATACTTTTTTCCAAATAGAAGGTGAGACACCTTTGGAAAAGTAAGATTTTCTTTGTTTAATTTCCTTAGGTCCTCAATAGGATTCTTCCAAAGTATACTTTTCAGATCATGCACGAAGTGACAGTTGAGCAAAGAAATCTATTTAGGGTGTGTAAGGAAACTGTGTCAATTCAACGGTGTTTGAAGTCAGGAAAACTTTAAGGACTGAGAAAATGAAAAAGGTTTATATGTAAGCTCTGGATCTGTTAGTGCTATTATCACAAAAACCTGAGACTGGGTAATTTGTACTTGTCATAGTTGTGTAGGTGGGATCAGGTGCTGGCAGGGTCTGTGGCTGGGAGAGCATGGTCTTGCTTCAAGGATGGCACCTTGAAGTTGGCATCCTTATTTAGCAGAAGGTCAAAGAGCAAAGAAGGGCTAAGCTAGTTTCTTCTAGCACTTTCACAAGGCACTAATCCTTTCATTAAGTGGAACCCTCTTAAGTTAGTCACTGTCTAAAGGCCCCACTTCTTATTACTTCACAGTAATAAGGGATTCAAGTTTCAACATGAACTTGAGGGTACAGACCACAGCACTTATCTTTGTTCTGTTAGAGGAGGAAGTACTTTGCTATTTGTTGTTTTTCTTTAGGAACTTGTCTCCATGGAGCATTTATTTGGATTTTTCTAACATTCTGAACTTTTGAGTTCATGCTGCCTTTCTCTGACCCTACAGTAAAGCTAAAGTTCAAGTTAAGTAGGGTCTTTTAATCTAATTCAATCTCCTTTTATATTGATTCAACCATTTCAGATAAGTACTTTACTTATCCGTTTGCCTTTTATAGTGCTTTTTCTTAGTTTGTCAAATTATCAACATGATTGTTATCATAATCTTCACTGGAGGAAAGGTCTAATTTTGTGAGAAAAGTCTTGGGAATAGAACAGAGATCAGTAGGTGGAAGTTAAAGCACAGTGTAAGAATGGACTTTTTTCTAAGAGGATTGGACAAAGGTAGAATGAGCTGTCTTAAAAACAGTGATGTTCTTTGAGCTATACTTTCATCTTCTGTAAAATGAGAATTGTAATATCACTCATAGTATTGTTGGAATGCTTTAATGAGTTAGCTCAGCAAAGCACTTGGCTCAGACCTGGCAAATATGTATACTCAAAACATTTGTTGAACAAATGAATAAATGGAAGTACAATTTCTTTCTTGCACTTTATCTTTTAGCCATAGAAAACAATATATTTGTCTTTGTTCTTTTTATTCCCCCCCCAACCTTTTTCTTAAGATTCAGGCCTTCTCCAAGAAATATTTTCAGCCTCTCCAAGAAGAGTAGGTTTCCATCACCCCATAGCTCCTTTAGGACCTGTGAATACCTCCTACCATTTGGTGTGGAGATTATCTGCTTGTGTAGCTATCTGTCCCAGGAGATTGTGAACTTCTCAGAGGCAGGAACTTCATCTTAATCATCTCTGTGCTTTTGGCACCTTCCACCTGACTAGCATACATGGGATGGCCAGTAAATGTGTGTTGGTACAAACTGAACAAGGAATGCAATAGCACAATGTGGGAAGTCTTTGGAAGTGTGTAAAAGTTTAAAGTCAGGCTGGGTGAAGATGCTAGCTTATCTTTCTGCAGTAGCAAGTCTGCTTTTTCAAAGAAATTGTTTACTACCAGTTGCTAGATATGAAAAATCCAATGTAAAAATTTAAAGATATTTCCCCCATATTTTTAGTGGTGCATTATAATTATAATAAGATTAAAAAATTAATTTTTTTTCCTGTTATTCTGAAGAAAGTACATTCTCTTAAGTAAAAGATGAGTCTCAGGTGTCTGTGTGCTGTGTACTTTGAGTAAGAAAATGTCCAAGGAACCATATGGAAAGTTATCTTTGTATTCAGATGTCTCTTCTCAACTTGCCTCAGACAAATCCAAGTATGACTACTATTTTGATTGGAAAGTTCAATCTGTAATTATTGGATTGGAGATTTGCCGATCGAGGCTTTAAAGTCAGGTAGACCTTAGTGTCTTCCTGTTTCTTTCCTGAATTAGCTTCATGGCCTTGGGCAAATTGCCAATTTATATAATTTAGAAATAATAAAGTCTACCTAATAGCGTCATTTAAGGAATAAATGGATTGTCATAGAAGTAAATACCATGAAGGCAGAGCTTTTGTCTGTTATGTTCTCTGGTGAACTCATGCCCAGTGAGTGCCCAACACATACTAGGCTCTTAACAAACATTTGTTAGATGAATGAGGCCTTAATAAATAGTGCCCGTTAACAGTCTCATTTCAGCATTTTTGAAATTGCACAGTGGTTTTGTTAGGATTTATTTTTTCCTTCAAAATTGGTAGGTTGTTTTATCAATGCTCATTCTCAGTTATTTAAATATAAATTAAGATGGGAGTCCTTGAGAAGCTGGTTAAGTTTAGCTTCATTTCTCAGGCATTGTTGCCAGTGATCAAATGAGACCACTTTTTGGGAATTTTCCTGGGACATCTAGATTCTCTCTTGAAAGCCAAAGCCATTTTTTTTTTCTTTTTGGTAGATTTCCCAATGATTAGTTTAGTTTTCACATGTCTAGAACCAAGAAATTCAAGTCCATGTGCATCTTAGGTCTCTCAGCAACTCCAAACACTGTTGCTAAGCCACTAGGCTGTTTCAGATGACCTTTTAAATCAAATGCAGTTTGCCTATTATGCAGCTGTTGGGATGGCTTTTTTGTTTTGCAAATAATGGAGTGTTTCCTATCTGGGTTGGGCCTGTCAATTGGAATAATGATGAAGGCTATTTGCTCATTTAAGAGAATTCAACCTCTGTTTAGTTTATTTTAAATATTTATCTGATAGTTGAAAACTATGACTTCTATTTTGCATAGGGGTTTCCCTTTTGTTTTTAATAGAACAAAAAAGGGTATTTTGGGAGTATTTTTTTTTTCAAAATTGGTACTACTAAGTTACAATTATTGTTATTTTAAAAAGAGGAGTATGTGATAATGGAATAAGGATTTTAAAATTGTATTTCAAACACATATTCTTAATGTACCTAAAATGCTTATTTGCTTATTTAATTTGCATATTTACTTAGAAAAGGTTGATTTAGTATTCTGACTATTTTTACTAAATTTTTATGAGAAATACATATAACTTTCATGATTCATTTATTTCTGGGGGTGTTAACACTTTTCATGCTATATAATATGATAATAATTATATTATTCTTTATTTGCATAGCATTTTATAGCTTATACCTTATTTCCACATATATTGTTTAATTTGGGCCTCATGATGATTCTGTAAGAGAGGGGCACTATGTTTCTTTAAAAATTTTTCTTTTCTCTATGCATATGGGAATTGAGGTTCACAGAAGTGAGGTAACTTATCCAAAGCCAGGCAGGATATAAACCTTTGATCTGCTAACTTAGAAAGTACTGAAGAGACTTATATGCTCATGAACTTACACACATGTATTTATAACACTATATGTAGGCCACAAGTAATTAGACATTTAAATTCTTTTCTTGTTCATTCAATAAATATT